ATAACCCAGGTATAATAAAAGGAATATTCAGATCTTCATCCTAGAGAGTATGTAAAACAGTGCATATGGCCTTGCTAGCCAGACTCAAACCCAGATGGACGGCTCTTGGCTCTTAAAGCTAACTTGATCCACTTTTCCATTGATTAATTACATGCAGCTCTTTTCCCACAATAACATGCAGCCAAACTGTCTTAGTCACTGGGGCCAACACTACTATTCCCAGAAATTTGTTTTCTTGTTTAGCAGAATACTCCAGAATCCAGCAATTAGGTTGGGAGTGAGGTCATTACTTCTCTAGAAGTAAGGGGCTTTGAGAGCTGCCTTTCTCTGAGAGAAAGAAGGGATCTTTTTAGAACCTGGAGTGAGCAGGTGAAGCTGAGACCTGGTCAGGCGGTGGCGAGTGCTGCAGCTCTGTGACCAGTTGGCCACCAGCCAGCACGAATCTATTCCCAGGCAAGGGAACCTGCTAAAAATAAGCAGGCAGCTATTTAATTCCAACAGATTCAAAATAGCCAAATCTCTTACCCACCAAGCCTAAGGCTGGGCCCTGGATTCCTTTGTGAGACTTTTCCCTGATTGGAAGACACTCCTGTCTGAAAGTCTGGGGCCTGAGGCAAGGAAGCAGCCTTCAGTTAGCTTTGTGAGCTTGTTAAATGCCACTTTCATCATGAGAGGTTTAGGTTAAAAAACAATCTCACACACACTGGGCAAAAAGAACAAGTCAAAAGCCTATGCCTAGAGGGCCTTCCTGTGGTGCAAGGGGTTAAAGGCAGCACTATGTAGCTTTCTGCAGCCACTGCATCCCTGGCCAGGGAGCTGACCAACATGGCGTGGCAGACCTCCCCTGACCTGCCCAATGCTCCCTTCAGCAGTGTATTTTCGTAGGTCTGCCTGTTCTGTTCCCTACTCTGTCTTTGGGGAATTCTCTCACCCCCTGCTACTGGCCTGTACCCCAGGTCTTGTATGTATGAATGAGTAAAAAAAAATTTTTTAAAGGGTATGCCTAGAGAAGGAAGGTGCAGAAAGCCTTGGGATGCTGGAGTGTGTGTGTGCAAGCACAGAGGTTGCCCTGAGAATTCAGGAAAGGTCGGTGTGATCTGCACCAGCTGCCTAAGCCAACTGTCCATGTCAGTTGGGGAAATTGGTACCATGCCGATTTTCCAACCCTGTGGGAGGTGGGGTTGACCCTGATATGGCTCCTGGAAATGAAGGGTCAAAGAAGTGAGGGAATTTTCTTGACTAGTGGGAAGGTCAGCCTCCAGTCACCGGAAGCTCCCCATGAGGTGCCTGCAGGCAGCTGGCAACCTTGGTGAACCCCCTAGGCTCTGAGAACATACTTTGTCTTTGGGTGGCTGCTACCCCCAAATGCTCCTGACTCTGTTCTTGGAGATGGATCCTCTCAATCACAGTCTTCTAGCAGCAAGGGAAAAAATAAAGTATTTCTTCCCCTCCTGTCTGGGGATTTCATCTCTTCACAAGCACCTGGAATACTTCATTCTGGCATTTCCCATCCCTGGAGGTAGTCCAGGAGGTAAGGGTTGTTCCTGGAGAGCAGTTGGCACTTGGCTTCCGGGCTCCTGGTTCTTCTGCATAGGGTCTTTGGGCTCTAGACTATGTGGGGAGGGGTGGGCACTGAGGATCCTGGTGGGGCATTCAGGATGCCATGGATTGGGTGACGGCTGCAGGGTACCATTATAAAGCACCTTTTTTTTTTTTTTGGTCAGGACCTTCCTGGCATGAGTCAGTCTAAATTTACTGAGAGTAAGAAAAATGTGTTCAAATCCCAGCCCCACTTTCTGCAGCATGTAATCTGTTGGGTATGACTTCATCTGACAAAGCTTGGGGATATACTGAGCATGCCCTTCCCCTGTAGCCTCTTTTCTCTCTCATATACTAATTTTTATGTGAAAAACATTGAACACAAGGCAAATCTCCTGTAAGCTACCATCTTTGTTACAGGTTGTTACAGAACAGTGCTTTTTAAACTTGACTATACATTGGAATCACCTGAATTTAAAACACACATAGATCCCTACCCCCCTCCCACCCTGGTATACAGATACCCCCCACTCCCACCCCCATCCAGGTCTCATCCTGGAAGAATCTGGTTTAACTTATCTGGGTGTTGCTTTGGCCTTGGGACTTTAAATCTGTCCCGGTGAAATGCTAATGTGCGGCTAAGTTGGAGAACCACAGTTACAGACATTAAAGATTTCTCTTCGACACAAGTAAGACTATCTTTGTTCATAGGTAAGAAATCCTACAGAATTCACTAAGAAACTACTAGAACTGACACATGAGCCTGGTACACGGTGGCTCCTGATACAGAAATTCTCGTCTCCTGTGAGCAGAAGACTCCCTGTGTACCCCCTCCAGTCTTTTCATGGGATTATGTGGACAGAGACATCACACAAATGATGTCTAAAGTTTTTATTTTTGTCCCACAGTACACGAGATCAACTTCCTAGCACTGTTGTATCCATGGATTCTACAGAATACCTAGTAGTGATTTTTCTGAATTTTGTTTCAAATTATTTCCCAGGGGTCATTCTTACATGAACCTCTATGGGGAGTTATGTTTTTTTTTTTTTTTTTTTTAAACAGACAAAGGATAATTTTTTTTTTAAAGCAACAACAATATCCAGAGTATCATTACATGAGGTGGCTTCCAAAACCCAAAATCCTACAGGAGGAGGATTTACTATATAATGGGTTCTTGAACTTAGAAAACCCTAGCATTATTTATATATATATATATATATTTGTATATCATTCTTCATTTTTCCATCCTGGTTGTAATCCCCATGGACTTCCCACCACCAATTCATCCATGTGCCATCACCATCTATTGTATTCTTTTTTTTTTTTAAATAATGTTTATTTTTACATCATTTTGTGCATTTTTTCATCACAGTTGTAATCCCCTTGGGCTTCCCATCACCAAATCACCCATGTACCATCAATGTCCAGTGCGTTTCCCTCCCCCCACTGTTTTTGATCCCTTTCCCAACTCCACCCCCATAAATTGTCTCTGGTATGTAACTGTTCATTGTTATTATTTTCTCGCCTGGTCCGTTATACTCCTGCTATGAGTGAAACCATTTGGTATTTTTCCTTTTCTTTCTGGCTTATCTCACTAAGCATGATCTTTTTCCAGCTCCATCCATGTTGCTGCAAAGGACATGTGTTTCTTTTTTTTGGTTGAAGTTGTGTTTGTTTTAAGAAAAGATTCCCAGGATAGCATTTCTGGGTCATAGGGTGGGTATGGTCTCAAAGTTTTAAGAACAATTTGAATTCCTTTAAGTTGGGCCATAGAATACCTTTTCCCTCATGGACCCACTAATTAGTGGGTTCTAGAGTTAATGTGGCATATAATTTGAGTACCAATCCTCTGGCTCCTCAACCATAAGTGATTTTGACCTTTAAGCTGGAAATACATTCCATGTGGTTGGAGAAACCTGGTCAGGTTCCGTGTTTGAATCTGAAGTTACAGGGTGCACCATTGACACTGTCCACCTGGAGAGGACCCCAGCCACTGTGTAGCTCTGCGTTGTGCCTTCTTGACCTATCACTCCATCTTCAAATAGTAGTGTTAGCATTTATCTTTAAGATGGAGGGTCTTTTTTGGAGATGAACTCACTATCACTTCCCCTACTCTCATCTTGTTGGGGCAAAACACTTTTCTAGCACATCTTCACAAGCTAATGTGCTCGTCAGTCCTCCTCTTACTCAGTAGGTCTGAAGTAGGACTGAGATGCTGCATTTCTAGCAGGTTCCCAGGTGTTTAGTGCTCAGTGCTTCTGGTCCATAGACAGCACTTTGACAAGCCAAGCCCTGGGGTGGTGGCTCCCAACTAAAGCTGAACATTAGAACCACTGGGAAACTATATGGTCTGGTTTTACTAGTGAGCACAAAATAGATGAAACCAGGCAGAGTTAATATATTTATATTCATCTTTGCCCAGTGTGCAAACCCAAATTAAGATGTATTTCCCCAACATGTCAGTGGAGGATCTTTAGTTTTAAGAAGACTTCTAATTTTTGCAGACAATAAAATTTGCTTCCATGGGAGAAAGGTAAGCATTTGAGAATATATCTACAATAGACCTCTAATGAGAGCTAACCTTGCTTTGCAAAATATTTACTATATATTGCAGCTAACCCTTATACCAACCATCTTTGAGATGTGTTCTGATTTTTATGGATAAAGAAAATTGAGTTTCCTATCTCGATTACATGTCTGTTCACTTCTCATCCAGATCTTTTTTCTTGCCTGGATCTAACTTATGTCTCCATAAGTTAAGTTTCTTTCACTGAATTTACTATTTATACTGTTCCAGAATCATCTGAAAACAGGTCTGTGTGTGTATGTGTGTGTGTGTGTACACATGTTCCTTGCAGACTGATGCTGGTTATCTGTTGACTGTAGGATAAATTTCAGACTCTGTAGAACACATTGACTCTACTGAAACACCTGAATTCTCCAAGTATGATCTGTATCTTCATGCCACTGTGGTTATTTTGTTGGTTTCTCACCCTCATGCTTTTTGAAATCTGCTGTTTGGGCTATTATTTGTGTATAACTGCTGTTTTGTTGATTCATGATTTTTGTGATTATGTGTAAGGGAATTGTACATGTGGCATCCAAGGACATTTAAAAATACTCTACTGCCACCTGAGTAAGTAGGTACTCAAAATGTAAAACATGACTATCCCCTTGGTGGGGGTGTGGGTGTGGGGAGTGAATGTAGGGAGAATTTGAAATAAAGGGATTTGGATTCAAGAGAAGACTCTGCTAGTTTCAAAGGAGTGTGTGTGATTAGGGGAGCAGATAAGCAGAGGTGTCTCTTTATGCCCATCCACCTCCAGTGGATCACCCAGAGTGAGGGTGGGGGCTGTGCCCTTTCAGGCAGGGAAAGGGAGAGCAGACATCTCTGCCATCGCCTGCATCAGGATCTCTTACCCGGCTTTCACAGTATCTCTCTCTCTCTGCTTTCCCAGGTTTAATTACTTCAAGCCTCCAGGATGGCCATCCAATTCCGTTCACTTTTCCCCTTGGCATTGCCTGGAATGCTGGCACTCCTTGGCTGGTGGTGGTTTTTCTCTCGTAAAAAAGAACATGTCAGCAGCCATGACAAACAAGTGGAGGCCAGCACTGTGGAGCTCAGAGCCAAGCCTGCCACCATGGAACCAGATGCCATGGAAGAGACCTGTCCTGGAGTAGTGTCCATGCCCGCCAGCATCAAGCAGCCACCAGAAAAGGAGCTGTCCACTGTGAGCAAGCCTTCTGTGGAGCCCCCAGTCTTGCTGCGGGCACAGCCAACCTTTCGCAGATCAGAATCCTCGGGCAGCCTTCCTAACAGCATGGACACGAGATTTCGACCAGGAGCACGTAAAGATGACAGTGCAAAGGTGGAACTAGCGCTGACAGGTGATGAAGCCAGGTCTGTTCCTCCAGAGTGTCCCCTTGCATCCCAAAAGGGTGTTCCGTTCCCCCATGAAGCGGTTGAGGTATGTAAACGAGAGTCCATATTGAACAGGATGCCTGGCCAGGGCCAGCAAGGCCAGTCTTCAACCCCCACAGAGAAGCACGGTCCTGGGGAGAAGGCACGAGAGACAGGTGGGGCTGAAGGTATTGGCGACGCAGTTCCAGGAGAAAATGTGATGGAAGAAGGTGTACTGTCCCAGCAGCATGGCTCTGAATTGCAGAACAGCAAGGTACCCAGCCCTGCTCCCTTGGGAGGAAAGGGAGAGAAAGAGAAAAGCAGCCCTCCCCAGATGGAAGAGCACAGAGTAGAGAAGTTGAGCAGCTTCATCGAGTTGGCTCATGTAGAGCTGGTGAAGGATGATAAAACTTTGGCTTCCCAGGCCACAGGGGACGAAGTCAGGGATGGAGATGTCACAGGAGAAGTGGGCAAAGAAGAGACCGGGGATAAAAACGCGAAGATTGAGCAGGCTGCTTTGCAGATAATCTCTAAAGTGATCTTGGAAGCAACCGAGGAAGTACTGGCCACCACAATGGGGAAGATTGCAGGTAGAATGTGTCAAGTATCAGCAGGTCGGTTCCAAGGGCAAGAGGAGGAGAGCTGTGCCCCAGTCAGCCAGAAAACTGCCGTGGGGCAAGGTGCCACGGAGCCCACTCCAGCCACAGTGGAAGCGACCGTGGGCCCATCAGATGCTCCCCTCCCCCCCGTAGGCCTGCCTGCGGAGGACCTGCCACCACCAAAGACCTACGTGAGCTGCCTGACCAGCCCTCTGTCCAGCCCCACGAAGGACAGAAAGCCAAAGAACTCTGTGCGCCACATCTCCCTGGCCGCCTGCTCTTCACCAGCCACTCCCCTCGGAGAGTCGCTCACTGAGGCCAGTGTCCTGGTGGAAGATGCCGGCTGTGTTCCCTGTATGTCCAACAGCAGCCAGGCTGCCCCTTCAGTGTCCTCCTCTGGGCAGTGCTCAGACTCCATCAGCACTTCAGGGCTCGAAGACTCTTGTGCAGAGACCAACTCCAGCCCTAGGGACAAGGCCAGCACTCCACCACTTCCAGAAAGTACTGTGCTCTTCAGCAATGGGGTGCTGAAGGAGGAGTTGTCAGACTTGGGGACTGAGGATGGATGGACCTTGGATGCGGAAGCAGATCATTCGGGAGGTAGGAGGGCCTTGCTGTTCCTCCTGTAGAGGACTGGGGAGGGGTGGTGTCCCTTTATTTGGTAGGAAGGCCGCGGCTGCTGCCCCGCCGTGGCGGTGCTCTTCAGTCTGTGTTCCGGCTGGCCTGCAGGAAGCCGGCCACAGCGTAGAGCTGGTGGGTAACCGAGGACTTAGGTTGTCCCGAACCCCAAAGCCATGGGAACTGGAACTTGGTTCGGCAGCCGATGACCCTCCCCAGTCCTTCTGAAGGAACCAGCTTAAAGTTGGATTTACTGGGTAACTGGTGTGCCTCTTTTTCTCCTTTAAGTACTAACCTCTTATTAATTTCTTTTAAATGGAGAGGCCTCCTTAGCTTTAATTTCCTTGAGTTCCAAGAATGAGTGTGAGCTTTTTAATGGTTTATTTCCTTTTAACCATGTGCTTGTTCCCATGTCTTCACCTGCTTTCCTTCTCCAGAAGCTCTTACCGGGTAAGTGCCCAGGGATTGGCCACAGCTTTGAACCTTGCGGGCGGCTGGCGCTCTCCCGCGCGCTTGCTGTCACCTATTCCTTCGCAGAGAGCCTCAGCCGTTTTCTTTCTGTGCAGCTGCAGTTCCACCCCCGGGAAAGAGGGGCACTTTTGTAACGAAGTGTCCACTGGGTTTTTCGAGTGCTGACCCCAGCGTAGACAGTTCAGACCGCTAACTTACAGGTCAGCAGCTCCTGATGCTGCCTTTGCAGCTACCCTGGGGTCTTTTCATTTATCCTGTGGCAAGATGCCACAAGGTCCCTTGTGGGTCCTGGCGCTTTGCCCCTTCGGTTTCAGCTCCAGGAAGGTTGGGAATCTGTCTGGGGAGTTTAACTACTTTCAGCCAGTGAGGAGCCCCAAGCTCTACCCTGCTGTGTACCTTACTGTGTTTTGTCAGTTAAGAGTCTACCTCTTTATGTATCTCCAACAGATAAAAAAAAAAAGTGCTGCTTTGATGATTATGGTAAGCTAGAGACAGAAGGATGCAGCCTAACTTTGGGGATGTTAAAATCTTAAATAAAAAGGGGGCGAAGGCTTCTTAAAATGGGTAGATTTATTTTTTTTTAAAGATTAAAGCAATTTCCCTGCCCACTGCCCCTTAGCGTGGAGCTCTAAATTGATTGTAATAGCTACTCAGATGCATTGAAGGCTTCAGGGGTCAGGCCTTTCTCAGAGAGGGCTGTGACTCAGTCCTAGTGACAGGGAAAAGTGCAGGGGCAGCAGGTGGAAGCCTGATGGTACCACTCACGTGCTCGGCATGAGAGCCCCAGGCTCTGTCCTGTGAGCATTGGCACGTTAGCCTGTTGTGTGTGAGGAAGCTGGAGCCTAGGAGGGCCAGCAGCTACTGGTGAGGGAGCTGGCCTTGAGTGCAGCTTGCTTTGATCCAGGGGGGCAGATGATGGCCAGTCACATACTGCAGGGCAGAGCTCAAGACTCCTCGTGTTGCGAGGAGTCACTTTAAAAGTGACTTTTTCTTAGCTGTGACTAGGGTCTCTGTTAAGCCATACTGCTGTATCCACAAAGTACATGAATTGTTCTGCAAAGGATTATGCCCAGGAGTTTGAGAAAGCTTGTAGAAAATATAAGCTAATTAGTAGAATCTCATAGTGACCTATTTCTGGCAATGACTGGTCCATATTTAAGTCAGAACTACTTTCCTTCAGCTAGTCTAGACTCCTGTTTTCTGATAGAGTCCTTGACCCACTCACATTTGTGAGTGGCTAACTCAGGTCCATGCTTGTCCTCTTAGGAATGAACTTTAGCTCAGTTTAGACGAGGCAGTTAAAGACCTGCCATGACCTCAGAAATGCATTCAGCTGCAAAGGCTGGGCCCAAGCAGAGTGAAAAGAGGCTACCCTCCTTCCATTCCCACTACACTGGGCCCTGCTTTAGGGATAAGAATGGAGTCCTCAGACAAGCCACTGAGGGAGGGCTCTTTCTTGCTCAGCTTGAGTGAAGCCTGCCTACAGCCTGTGATCCCAGACCCAGGGCATTGGGAATTAGAGACCCTTCATCTGAGGCTCTGGCGTAGTTGGGGGGTTGTGGATCAGTTGTAACAGGTTGGTCTCTTAGAGGCCCACACAAAATAACCAGCTCCTGGGGCCATGTGGGCCTGCTGGCCCACCCCTCACCCTCCCTGTGTGGACTTCTCTCCCCGGGCCAGCCTCTATTTCTTCCCAGTTCACCACTTGTCTCTGCTCTAGCAGCTGTGGCTGGGTGCGGCTGCCAATTAAGTCAGTGGGACTGTAAGTGACAGGCTAAAATTAGGTGTATCTACACCCCCAGTCATCCCGTCATTGGGGTTGTTCTGAGCTTTCTAGGCTGCAAGTTGACATTCAACTGCCAAGCTCGAAAGGGTGGTGGGGGGGTGGGGGTGGGGCGTGGGACAGGGGCCTCCTGGGAACACAAGTTTAGTTCTGTGCCATTAACTGTTCTAAGCCAGTGTCTCTATCTGTGCATGCTGCTTCCTCCCCTGTAGGTTCAGACGGGAACAGCATGGATTCAGTGGATGGCTGCTGTGGCCCCAGGAAAACTGACAGTTTCCAGAATGCCCAGGCAGGTGCCAATCCTAAGAAGGTTGACCTCATCATCTGGGAGATTGAGGTACCGAAGGTAAGAGTTGTAAGCTTGAAGCTCTCTTTGGGTTTTGGGGGAGGGCACCCAGGGGAGGGAGAGTCAACCAAAGGTTAGTGAGCCAGAGGCAGGAGGGAAAGGGAACGCCACTGTTCAGATTGGTTCCTGAAAAATGACTTCCTCCACTGCCTTTCGGAGTGTCCTGTTCTGTCCTCTGCAGGTTCACAGGCTTGCTTGTCTCCCTGGGCTTTTCCTGTGTGTACTGGAGCTCAGATCTCTTTATGGGTGCTAGCAAAAGGCCAAAGTGAGGACATGGGCCGCTCAGGAATTTCTCCACTGGGCTCTGAACAAGCCCTCCAATGCAGAGTGTATTTTGTAATTGAGCACAGCATAAATCCATATTTTAGAGGACTTGTGAAGAATAGAAATATATGAAGAACATAAAAATCAGCTGTAACCCTACCCCAGAGAATGACTGAGAAGACTTTTATTTCCTTCTTGTCTTGCACCCTGTGGTTTTTAAACAAAACTGAGATTATGTTGCTTTAATTAATGCTTTTAAATATTTAACAATTTTCCTGTATTATTCTTTGAAAATGTAATTTTAACTGCATTATTCATTGTGTGGATGTCAGTTTACTTCACTTTAGTCCCCAATTTCAGGGTGCTTAAATGGTTCTTACTTCTTGCTGATAACTTACAACTTATTAGCTTAATCTTGATGTTTATCTCTGAGGCTCAGAAATAATTGGCCTACTGCATTCTCTTGGGGCACTAAGCTCCCTGCTGAGGCGGAGACTTGGCTTGCTTTAAACTCTGGGTCAGGGGGGCTGCTCTGACCCCAGGTTGCTGGCTCCCTGAGCTGCTTTGTCCCCCAGTGACCCTGAGAGCAGTCCTGCCTCCTCCTCCAGTGGTTGCAAAGGGCAGTGGCTGGGCAACTCTGGGTGCAAAGGGACCGAGTCCCTAGTAGCTGCTGAGGTAGGATCGTCTGGATCTGTTTCAGAGTTTGTCTAGATTGCGGCAAAGCTTGGCATCTTCTGTCCACCTTGCACTTCCGCCAGCCTTGTGGTCTGAAGGCTGTCCGTTGGCAGCAAGACTCCACAGGTTCTTTCTTAGGCTTTTGTTTTCAGGTGGAGTCCTTTCTGTCCATGCCAACTGAAGGGATGGGAGGAGTGGGAAACCAATCCTTGTGCTGTTGAAACCTCCCTTGTGGATTAGGGAGAAGACCTTGCTTTTGCAGCTTTCTGGATTTGGACTACAGTGTGGCCCAAATGATGAAATGGGCCACATGGAATGAAATGGAAATTTCTAGGAGTAACTGCTTAGTATCTGTAATGCTTGGGCGAGTTACTTAGTGTCTTTGTTTATTTACTGACCTGTAAGATGGTAATAAAGTAATCTGATTCATAGGTACTGTGAGTAAATGCAATACTCAGAACAATGCCTGGTGGATGAGAGCTTTAATGTTTGTGCTTTGGGAGTGTAGGGAATTGGTTTTCTGTTAACTAACTAAGCTAACTGTCCTCTCCCTCTCTCTTAGCACCTAGTTGGTCGGCTCATTGGCAAACAGGGGCGGTATGTGAGTTTTCTGAAGCAAACATCTGGTGCCAAGATCTACATCTCAACCCTGCCTTATACCCAGAACATCCAGATCTGCCACATAGAAGGTCAGTGGCAGCTGCTGTGCTGTGTTTAGCTTTCTTATGTGAAATGTAAGTAAACTGAAGCATTGGAGTCCTAGTTGTTACCCTTTTGGAATCAGTATGGAATAGAAAAAACCCTCTGCTTATCCCAAAGGAGAACTGAGTGTTTTCTTCTCAGTCCTCATCATCCATTTGAGGTGCTTGGAGGAAACGCTGGCCCTGCACTCAGATTGGGGGTGTGGTGTGGAGGGATAGGGGCCCAGGCCCCTGGGTTTATAGTACACACGATAGGGGCTCCCTCACAGAAGTATGATTCCCTTCTAGTTGAGGACCAGGTCTTTCCCATCTTCCTTTTGCATATAAAGCACGGTTAACAGTGGAAGAGAGGTATCATTTGAAAAGTCAAATGTCTTTAAATGCCTTTCTCAAGAGAGCATAGAATTTTAGTGCCTTACTGATGGACTGTAGAATTCCTGCAGGGGTGTATGCCTGTTTGTGTGCTGCATTTGTCTTACTCACAATGACTGTGTCCTGCTCTCTCCAATCTCTCCTGAACCTCCCCATATAGGCTCTCAGCATCATGTAGACAAAGCGCTGAACTTGATTGGGAAGAAGTTCAAGGAACTGAACCTCACCAATATCTACGCCCCTCCACTGCCTTCACTGGCATTGCCTTCTCTTCCGATGACTTCCTGGGTGAGCATGCACCAGGGGATCAGGACTTTTTACCACCCAGCTCCCAAACCAGAAATTCCTAGGACCATCAGCTAAGGAAGTCAAGAGCACATTGAAACCTGTGTGCTCTTACATCTGATCTCCACTGCTCCATTCTGCTTCTAGCCTGTACCCCTGGAGGGCTGGTCTGCTGGAAGGAAGCACTTAGAAGGACCAGACCACTCTTCTCTAAGTGTGTCTTCTGGGCACTGTGTGTTTTAAGCCATTTGCTAGAAAGAATTAGTAGTACCCAGGAGACTGGGTGTGTCCATATTAGCTAGGCACTGCACGCTGGTTCCTGGTCTAGAGTCCCAGCCTGGCACAAGTCTAGGTGGACTCGTGTTTTCCTTATTTCCCCCTCAGCTTGGCCCAGGGATGGCCTTGTGAAGGGCTTTTTTCCTCCTCCTCTCTTCTAGATTGTAAAGAAAAACCCCCTTCCTCCTCTGCCACCACCAGTCATAGAAAGCCAGGTGGAGGCTGCCCAGGGTTCTGCTGCCATCTTGGAGTGGATCCTCTGCCCCAGGGCCAGCTCCCTTGTCCTGTCATGTGCCTCCAGCCCCATTTGAGCTGCTTGTCACTAGGAGCAGAAATGTAGGGTTCTGTAGCCTAGAAACAGCAGTGTTTCTCACCTGGGCTGAATGTGCTGCTTCAAATTGCCTCCCTGGCTTTAAGACTTCCCGGATGTGTCTTCCCTCTTCCAAATCCCTCTATGTCTCCGGGGAAGGGATGTTGTCTCTTTCCTGTGGTCTTTGGGAATGGGCTGAAACACTCGCTATTCTTAATTTCTAAATCAGAAATTTTTCCCTTGGAGTTTTAGTCACAGGCTCCCTTTATCTGTTTTTAAAGATTTATTCTTTGTGCATACAAGAGCTGAGGTACAGGCCAGAGGTGGGTGATTGTGGTGGTGTGAGGATTCACAAGAGACAGGGTGAGAAGCAGAACAGAAGATCCACTGAAATACACTGAGGGGAGCAGCAGGCAAGACTGGAGAGATCTGCTGTGCCATGTGGGCCAGCTCCCTGGCACGGGGTGCAGTGGCTACTGATAGCTTCATAGTGCTGCGATGTAATCCCTTACATCACCAGGGGCCTCCTCACCTTTATTTTTAATTGGGCTCAGGAAAAACTACTTGAATGGTGCAAAGTTTGATGCCACTGTGGCCTTTGTTGCAATCACACCAGTAGCCAATGGAGGTGGTCTCACCCCAGTGCTAGGCATGGACTCCAGGAGCCAGCTGTGAGTGCAGTGCTCCTGCGTGGTTGCTGCGGCTCCTTTCCCTCGCACTGAGCGTAGCTCATTGAGAGTGAAGAGATCCCAGGTGCTTCTCATCCAGTAGCAATGGGAGCAGGTTGGTGGATGCCAGGACTCATAGCCAGTCTCTCCTCTTGTGGGCACCTGGCTGGAAGTTTGGGTAGATGCCCTGTAGTGTTCAGAGTACCTGGATATTGCCGTTGCACTGCGCAGACTTGCATTCCAAATCCCAGAGTGGGAATAAGTTGGGAGGATCTCTATGGAGTATAGAGAAGAACAAAAATATGACTTAGACTGGCCGACTTTGACAGTGGGACCAGCACTCTTGGCCAGCGCTTGCTGGTAGGGGGCGGCGGAGGAAGAAAGCAGGTTTCAGATCATATTACAGTGCCTGTGGTCACCTACAGACCCGAAGTTGCTGGCTGTGGGGTCTGAGCCTCTTTTTCTTGGGTACCTCATTCTCAGTGACTGCCTCATTCCCCTTTGCCTTTGATGAGACTTATAGATACATCAAGAGAAGTGTGAAGGAGGGGAGCTCTGGGGATCACTGCCAGGCAAGCTGGAGGCCCAGCACTGCCTTCACACCTGGCTTCTCGTGGCCTGCCAGGCCTGTGAGGCCAATGCGAGTGGTTACTGGCGCTCTTACACAACACAGGCCAAGTGACATCAAACACTTTGCACCATTAAAGTAGCTTTCTCCGAACCTCTGTCATCTGGGCACCATACTGCTTTGGGTAGCCATGTTCTTTTCAAAGCTGTGCCAGTTCAGAGTCTTGGCCCTGGGTCCCGGGGCTCTCCCAGACATGAGGAGGGTTGCTGCAGTGCCTGTGCCCTTCCCCTTCCTCCATAGCTCATGCTCCCCGATGGCATCACTGTGGAGGTGATTGTGGTGAATCAGGTCAACGCCGGGCACCTGTTTGTGCAGCAGCACACACATCCTACCTTCCATGCGCTGCGCAGCCTGGACCAGCAGATGTACCTCTGCTACTCTCAGCCAGGAATCCCCACCTTGCCTACCCCAGTGGAAAGTAAGTGTTCCTCAGGGTGTCCGAGGGGTGTTCTGGGCCCTGGTCAGCGGGGGGGAAGAAGGGTGAGGTGGCCTGTTCTGCTGGTGATCTTAACCAGGAGGAAGCTGTTCTTAATGTTTTCATGGGAAAAGAATCCTTGTGTTGTTGCCATAGTGGAGGAGTTGTTATGGGCTGAGTTTCCTGGCTAGCCCAAGCTACTGTGTCTGCTGGCTGGTGGAGCTGTGGAACTGAGCTTTGACACCTGGATTTAGATGGCAGCTTTGTCACTTATCTGTTACATGGAGTTGCTGCCCACTCCTTCCAGGAATTAGGGTTGGATACTTTGTCCTGTGTAAAGTACCTGATGGAAATACTGGTTCCTGTTGAAGATCCCTAAGGTCGCTTGTGGCTGCAGTGGCTACTCAACAGCTGAGAAAACTGAGCCTCAAGTCAGATGACTTGCTCCTGTGCAGGAGCTGGAACAACCTAGGGAGGGTCCTCTGTCATGAGTAACGTTGTTGCGTAGTGGGCATGGAGTGCCTGGTGATACCACCCATCTCCTGCTCCTCTTATTTTCTGCAGATCCCCTAACCTTGCCTCAGTCTAGTAGTAAAGACTAATCTGGAGACCAAGAGGTAACTGCATCTGGGCTCCGACGCCTGTGTCAGAGCGGGACGCAGTGTAGCAGCTATGTGTTGCAGACCCCAGGAGTGCTGTTGGGTGACACCACTGACAGTTCTCCCAGCTCTGCCTCTGCTGCTCCCCAGGTGCAGCTGGAGACCTTTGGGGCACCTGCTCTCCCCTTTGTTGGCTGCCAGGGCACACGTGCTCTCAGTACCTTCCTAGAGCGAAGGCTACAGGAGACCTGCAGGCCCCTTCTAGCAAGCCCTTGATCTGAGTTGCTAGGGTTGGAGCAGGCCCAGGATACCAGCCCCTGAAATCGGCTACACTCGGAGGGTCTCATCTTTCCAGAACTTTCTCTGAGACCATGAATCCCCAGCCCCTGAGTTGTGATGTTAGTTTGTTCCAGGTTGTCTTTGTCTATCTCAGGTGTCAGCCAGTTTCAGAGTGAACACATCTGGATGTGCTAGGCTCAATTTCGCAGATCCGCTCTTGGTCTCTAGGGGAGGTTTTGGGGACTCCTGGCTGTCCCCTGCCCTGTGGAGGACAGGCTTCTAGCAGACACGGTGGGGGTGGGTCGCGTTACTTGGGGTGGCTGAGGTGGCTGGGCCAGCATGTGCACAACCCCTGCTCCTGCCCTGTAGTCACTGTCATCTGTGCGGCTCCCGGCGTGGACGGTGCCTGGTGGAGAGCTCAAGTGGTAGCCTCCTATGAGGAGACTAATGAAGTGGAGATTCGCTACGTGGACTACGGTGGATATAAGAGAGTGAAAGTCGACGTGCTCCGGCAAATCCGGTGAGCCCACTTGCCCCGACAGGCGCGTGCCATGTTGGAGGACTGTGATTTCTATGTAGCTGGCTCAAGTCTACCAAGGCTGGGATGTGGGTTAATTTTTCCTTCTGCTGCCTACTCTGTTTTAGAAGAGTCTATATCAACAAACTCCACTGCTAGCCTCAGCCAAGCTGAACTAGAAAGTTCTGTTTTGTGGAATACACCCCCAATATCATATGGCAAGCGCTGTGAAGCGGCTTCCTTTTGGGCGTGTGGCACAGGAAGCCCCTCTGAGCTCAGCCTCGCAGCAGGACGGGATGCCTGCATCGGCTGTGCCTGGAGCCGTGCCACTCACATGAACTTCTTTCACTTCTGCCTGTGTTTTGAGTGCCATGGGATTAAGCAGAAGGTAAATAATGGCCTACAGTGGATTTCTCCTTCAAGTCCATGTTAAACTTGGCCCTTTCTTGCCTTTCTAGGTCTGATTTTGTGACCCTGCCATTCCAGGGAGCAGAAGTCCTTCTGGACAGCGTGATGCCCCTGTCAGGTAATGATGACTCCCTCTGGCTGAAGGGGTGGGAGGCAGTTGTTCAGATAGTTCTTGCTCAGTGAGAGAGTCGTTCTCACCTGGAGGACTTCAGCAAACACAGGTCTGGACTGAAGAACTGGCATCTCTATAAAGTCTTAGGTGATGCCGGTAGTGCTCATCCATGGGACACCCTTTCAAGTCCACTGCTCTGGACTTTACCCAACTTTGAGAGACGGCTAACACAGACACCTCCCAGAATGTAACTGAGACAGAGCCTTCACACCTGTGGTCTAGGGAGAATGAGTTCCGAAGTACTGCTCAGCTAAGCCTCAGCACTGTGAGAACCACACTGATAGTGCCCTGTGTGTTAGCTTGCATTGCTCTTACCCGTAAGGTGAGATAACAGCTGCATCTCTTAGGGTGTGCTGATTCAGTGGAAGAAAACATAAGTATGCTCAGCCCTGTCAGCCCCCAACTAGGTGGTGATGTTTGTACTGAAGGCAGAATTCTGTACTTTTGTTCTTCTGAGCCCCAATAGGTAGCGAGCATGTAGTAGAGACCCTGGGTATATCTGCTTAGAGTCATGTGGAGGCCATAGCAGCATCTACTTGGAATGCAGACGCCCCGCGGTGTGTATGTGACCGCCATGCCTTGCTTTAGTGCTGGTCTCATTGCTGCTTTCCCTTGCCTTTCTAAAGATGACGACCACTTTTCACCTGAAGCGGATGCAGCTATGAGTGAGATGACAGGCAACACAGCATTGCTGGCTCAGGTGTGTGGCTGATGGGGGGAGACGGGGCAGGCTGGACTGGGTATCTGTGGAGCCTCCTGCCTACTGTCTGCTGTGCTCCTGATCACACCCGATTCTGGGCTTCCTGGAATTGTGATCTTTGAATTCTTTCCTCTGGCTTGAAATCTGGCTTAGCCAACAGTCATTGGTGTTTTTTGGTTTTTTTTTTCCAGGTGACAAATTACAGCCCAACTGGCCTTCCTCTGATTCAGCTATGGAGTGTGGTTGGAGATGAAGTAAGTGCTAACCTTTGTCTTCTAAGTTACTAGCCAGCAGGGTTGATTGGGAGCTGGCTCTCATTGTCTCCTCTTAAGCTAATCAGAGGATATAACTATAACTAGTGCCCCGGGGACACATTTAGCAATGACTGCAGACCATTTTGGTTGCTACATTGGGGGAGTGGGGTGCCAGTGTCAACTAATGGGTAGATGCCAGCAATGCTGCACCCTATAATGCACAGTCCCCCACAACAGAATTATCAGGTCAGAACTGCCTGGGCCTTCTGTCTATTGGCGTTTCCTCTCCTCTGTTCATGGTATTAAAGCTTAGCTGTCTTCAGGTTATTGAGAAATCTGTCTTGACGCCAACACACATTTATCAAAATGCCCCACCCCCTTATTCTTGTGCAGCAGCCTGCAGTGGCCCTGGGACTATTAAGAGGGAGAGGACCTACGTGGGCTTGAGAAATGGTGCCTGTGAGCAAAACTCTCAAGGGAACTTTCTTTTCTAGGTGGTGTTGATAAACCGGTCGCTGGTGGAGAGAGGACTTGCTCAGTGGGTAGACAGCTACTACGCAAGCCTTTGACACTCCCCCTTCCCCACAGCCACTTCTTGAGTCTTTTTTTGCACTGTTGAAATTGGGCTTGGCACACAAGGCAAAGACTTTACAACAGAATAACAAACATTGTCCTCCCCAGAAACTCCTGATTTTATATACATATGGTAGTCCGGTTGAAAAGGTATCTCTGAGATGAGGAAGGAACTGTGAGTTTTGTAAAGTTGTAGGATGGTGTTTAACAAGTGATGGGTTAAACTGGTTTCCAAGAGGGTTAAAAAAACAAAGGAAATAGTGGAAGAAAACTGTGTAGACAGGTTTTCCATTCCTCCCCACCCCTATGCATTCTTCCTTTTCCCCCTTCCTCCCCACCAAAACCAAACCAACTGTAGCTGACAGGCCATGGGATTTGTTGCTTGCTTCAGAGTGTTCTTTTACTTCAAAATCTTCAGGGAGCAAGACATAATTTCACTAATGGGTATTGATGATTTGTACAGCTTACATAAATGAATTGATGATATTTAAGCAGTTTTTATAAACTTCATCTAGGTCTCTAAGAAGGAAGACTTTTTAATCACACCTCTGGTCTTGGTCAGTGGGGGAGGGGAACGGTTCTCTTGCCAAGCCTGGTTGTAATTTGTAATCATTTTCTATTTGTGCAAATTCTGTAAATATGTTTAAAAATGTAATATTTTGTACAAGATACACTGGAGAACAAAGGAAACTCAAGACTTTTTTCCATACAACATGTCATCTGTGAGCAGAAGCTTTTTCTGCTGAATACATCCCAGCTCCTCTTGCCATGGTTCCCGATGGCTTCCTGCATACTGGACCGGGTGACTGTATGGTATAGGTTGTGATCTGGGGAATTTTTTTTTTTTTTCTGTACAAATTTGTTTAAAAAAAAAAAAAGCAACTCATTGATTTACCTTGCAGTGGTGTGTGTTTGATTCATTTTTTAGACTGGCTTCAGCGTTGTGCAATTTAAAATAAGTAACTTAAGTAACTTATATAAATCTTGAATTGTATACACTATAGTTTTGAGTCCTTTTTCTTTCCAAGGTGCAAAGGTTGGGGGTGGGGAGCAAAGAGGGTGATTATGGGTGTGGTGGGTGTTGAAAGTTCCTATTCAATGGAGACCCATGATTGAGGACAGTTTAGACAGAACTCTTGTCTGTTTCTGCCCTCCTTTTAGCCCCACGCTGGCAGCTGGACTGCCTCTGGCTTCCCTCGTGGAGCGATTTGAATGTTTCAAATAGCCAGGCTTTAGTTTATTTAAAGCACTAGTTTAAAGAATTCTTTGGTTGCGCTTTTAAGTTTTTTTCCCTTAAATTTCATGTCTTGAATGTTAAATCCAACCTCTTTATTCACAAATAAGCTCTAATGGGAATTCCTTGTTAGATTTCAGTGATAGTGTTAAGTGGTTAAATCTTACTTTAAGCAATATAGTTAACGTATCCCACATACTATTTCAGCGTGTGATATAAAAATGACTGGCAGGCTTCTTTGTATACTTTGCCATCCTATGTGTATTTCACACCAAGGCACGTGTAACTGACAGCTCTTCGAGCAGTCGCACGTGTCACAGGGCTATCACGTGGTCGTTGCGGCGGGGGACCTTCCGTGCTAGGCGCCTGGGCCCCACCCGGACTGTGCACCGGAGCACTTCCGTTGGCAAGTGCCCTGGAGCGGAAGTCCTGGTGGTTTTTGCGCGCATGCGCACAGTCCAAGTAAATTGCTGGCTGGGCATCTGGGCTGCTTGAGAGGAGTTTCGAGCTGTGGGAGGTGAGCATGAGCCCGGTAGAGGTGGTCTGTCTCCGCTAGTCTGTGGAGTGCCCGAGGGCAGGAGGGGCGGTACACCGCATGAAAGTGTGGAGTGTTTGAGGGGCCAAAGGCAGCGTGGACAGGGTGCAGGCCCTGGATTCACGCTGTCAGGGTTTGTGCCTCGGCCTGTTACCTACTTGCTGGCGCCCTTGAACAAGTCAGCACTCCCCCATCTTAGCTTGGTCACCCGCGAAGGGGGGAAGAGGGCAGATGCAGCCTCCGAGGTTGTCACTGGGGATTAAGTGCAGTACTCCATGGAGCGCTTAGCAACACGCCTGACTCGTAACCTGCCAACAAAAAAATTGAGTAATTTTGTTGTTTCTGTTAAGGTGAAGCTGTTGTCTCATTGCTTTCGATTTGTGAGCCCCTATTAGGAATGTTGTGCTATATATTTTATTTGTATTATCACACTCCTCCAGCAGACATAGAAATAGGTGCTTGTGCATTCTTAATAGCTCGTGAGGTTTTGCTTGCTCCGAAGGACAAGGATGATACACATCATACGTACATTCACATGATGAGAGCAAGTACTGTCTCTTGACTCAGTGGCCCCTCCTTTCAGACCCTGTGTCTCCGACCTCCTTGCTTGGGAGCATCCCAGGGTGCCTTCAGGGGTTTCCAGAGTGGAAGTAATCTGAGGTCCTTTCCTCTGAAGGAATCCTCTGGTAAGCTGTGGACACTCAGCTGCCCAGTACCCTACCCTGCCAGCCCAGCAGGCTGCGAGTCCTAGTTCTGGAGCTTCTAGTTTCAACTCAGCAGGCCTCTAAACCTTCCTGATCACCCAACTCTGCCCAGAGGTAGAGCTGGCATTTGTGTTAGAGTGTTACTTCTTTCTCTCAGGCCTTAGGTCTCACGTATGTGGGTAGTGAGTGATTTAAAGCCTCCATTCCCTTCATCTGTAGGATTAGGAAGGGATTAGAAAATGATACTAGCCTCAGGGCAATGAGCTGAAACTGCAGAAATGTTCCCTATGTGTACAGAGCTTGGCCACAGTGAACTCTCATGCAGTCTTAGTTGCCCTTGGCCCTCAGTCCCAGTGGTAATTGAATATGGCCTTAGCCAAATCTTGTTGCATCTAATTGTAGGGTTGTTTCTTTTTTGTTTTGTTTTGTTTTTCCTGTACAACTCATCATTGCTAGAGCAGGGCAGGATGTATAGGGAGCCCAAGTTAGTTTGGGGAGACCTCTCAAAGCCTAATACACTGACTTGGTCCTTACCTTTGGGAGTCATCAAAGAGTTTGAAAGAGGTAATCACAGGATTCTGGTTCAGGAAGGCAGGTGGAAAAGGTGGGCAAGCAGAGATCTTCAGATGACTTCAGAGGTTGCAAGTCATAGGGTTAAGATCTTTGGACAAATGCCAGGATTGGTGGAGAAGGCAGCAGTGGGAGAAATTGGCTGTTCTTGGTATTTCAGGCCTTCACCTTTGGGGATGGGGGTCATTAGAATATTTAGTATATGGCAGGAAAAGGAAGTTAGAAATTAGTGAAGGGCACACACACACTGACTAAATCCTCAGATTGTTGTGCACCTTGGATTATTTCCATAATTCTGAAAAACTGATTTTTTAACCTTTGTACCAGCAATTTTGTTGGGTTTTTGGAGGAGAGGGCTTAGAGAGGTCCAGCACCATCATTCTGGCCATGCGCCCTCTGGCAAGTCTGCTCAGACATGCCTGAATGAACTGTGGGCCATTCAGGGCGAGCCAGGCCTGGAGAGAGATTTGGTAATCTGCCTGGGGTGTGGGAGAGGGCAGCGGAAGGCTGGATGCAGGATGTTGTGTGGGCCTGCTGGGTGTGGAAGGAGTGGCTGGTCCAAGTGAGGTGTCAGCATGGAAGCTGGGCTCTTGTGTCACTGCACACTTTGTGCACCCCAGACTGGAAAATAAAGTGAGATAAGTAGTGCACTTAACTGTTTAAGACTGCTGATTGACAGGAATTACTTGGTCCTTACGACAGCCCAAAGAGGTAGACAGATGCGTGATGTGGGAGTGGACCAGAACTGAGATTCAAAGCCAGGCTGTTTCCATGCTGGATTCTCTTACCCACTGCTCCTCTTGAAAGCAACAGGAGGCGCCACTGCGCGTCATTCCATTTCACCAAATGCCACAGTGGTTCAGCCATCAGCCCATAGAAAATGTTTGGCACTTACAATCCAAAAAATATTATGAGAGGAGAGACCGACCCTTTTGCTTAAGCAATAAATCAAATCTTAAGCAATAAAAACAAAGCCAAAAGAAACTTGTAGCAGCAAGGCTAAAGGGCGAACATTTTTAATCTCATGATCTAAAAGGAAAGCTAAGTCTCCATTGCAAAGTGTGCTAAAGAATAGGAACAGAAAATAGGAACCCTAGTGTGGTCACTGTCTGGTTAAAATATAGTGTGCCATGTGTGATTTCAAATGTTTAGAAGCCATAGCAAAAGGGGAAAAGAAACATTAAAATTCACTTCATGTGGTTTGTTTAGCGTACTGTCTCGTAGCTACATGTAGTAGACATGAGATGAGAAATACAGAAAACATTTTGTAGTAAGTGTGGAATCCATGTGTCTGTTTCACGCCTGCAGTCACAGCCCTGGTGCTCAGTCACAGTGACTTGTGTTTGCCATTAGACAGCAGGGGCCAGGCCACCCGCTCACCCGCACTCTCCGTCTTCCTGTATCTTCCTTGGCTCACTCAAAAAGTTCCAGGTTCATTTGCACATTTTTCCATATGAACTTTATAATGTTTTTTGGGAGCAGGATGTGGTAAATGTGTTGACATTTAAAAATAATGCATTTTCATGGTTTGCTGTAGAGTTCTATGTAAACTATTAGACCAGGCTTGCAAATGTTTCAAATCTATTGTTTTACTTTCCTCTCCCTCAGCCCACTTTTTTTGTCCTATTTCTGAGAAAATGACATTGAATAATTCTGGTATTGTCATGTTTTCCTCAACAGCTTCTTTTATAAATTTCAGTTTATGTTGCTTCATTTGAAAAACCGATGAATGGTATTTCCTCATCAATGTAAATATCTTTGGTATCTTGTTTGCTTTTTGTTTTAACTCATATATTCTTTTATTCCGTCACGTTTTAGGTGGACGACTTGTAAATACTGCAAGAATTTTTTAAGTGAAACCTGGACAGTCACTTAATAGGTGACTTTAACTCATTTATTATAATGTTATTTGTCGTTCAATTCATTTTCCTATTGTGTTTTCTGGTGTTTTTTTTTTCCTTTCTTCATTATCTGCCTGATTGGATTTTCCTTCTAATAAATCTAGCATTCAACATCTTGTTGCTCTGTTATTAGTGGATAGCCTTGAAGTTTTAAATATACTTGAATTTTTACTTCTGCGCTTGACCTGAACAGCACCTCTTTCCTGAGTGTCCGCTCTCCCCTAAATTTGTTGAAATTACCTAGAATGTGGTTCAGGATTCCGAGCTTCTTCTCACATACGCCTCTCAAGAATTTTAATGGTGACATTAAACTTCAGTCGCATTAAAAAAAAAAAGAATTTTGGCCCAGTTTGCTGTTTTACTCACTACGTTACTTACCTGAGACTTACCTGATGCTTATACACCTGTTTCTGTGTTCTTTATTTTGATTTGCTTTTAATTTGTGTGGAGTATTCGATTTTTATTGTTTTCAGGACTTCTAAGAGACCTTGTATATATGGGCACTTTTTTGTCCTCACGCAGCAGTTGTTAATCCTAAGCATCTCTGCCAGATAACAAAAATTTGCCAAAAGTTCCACTTTCCTTCCCACAATGGCACTGCGCATCCTTGTGCTACTTCTGCAGTGGGAGATGGTCGAGGTAGAGGTAGGGGATAGGCAACGCATGGCCCAGGCAGGTCCTTCCTCAGGAGGCAGTGTGGGGCTCGCTTGTCTTCCC